CAGTCCCTCTGTCTCTGCCCAGGTGCAGCAAGGGGACAGAACATGCTGGAAACAAGGCCCCCAACCCACATCGGGGAGCCACCCTGCTCCAGCCCAGCTGGGGACAAAGGCATCATTGTTAAGCCAACAGATACCCCTTTGTCCAAGCAGCAGGAGGAGAGGACCCCGGCATGGTCTGATTCCCCTTCCTGAGGCCCCTGAACTGTGCTCTACTACCTGGGGGAAAGGGGCCCAGCTGCCAAGGGCAGGGGAGAAATGAGGGGAGAAGAGGGCAGAACTGGAGGAGAGAAGAAGGTGGGTAAGGGAGGGTGAGCAGGAGTGGGGGAGAGAAACTGCCGAGCAAGCCCACGCCCCCATTCAGATGCCCCTGCCCCTCGGCTCCTCCACATACTCCTCCTGCCCTTCTCCGTGCTCCACTTGTTCCATCCAGACCTCCCACATACTCCAGCCCTTCCCTTTCAGGTACCTGGACACTTCCAGCCCCAACCCTCCTTGCTCTCACTCCCAAGCCAGCTCCCTGCTCCTCCCTCCCCCTCTTCCTACCCACCCCACCACCCTCACTCACCTGCAGCTCAGTGATGGACATGATCTCTTGCCAAGTCAGTTCCATCTCGCCCAGCTCAGGAGTGGACAGCTGGATCACCCCGTTTCTGCTCTGCTGGGGAGGACACGGGGGCATCCTACTTGGCCAGGGTCTGGTCCAAGTTCCCCCGAAGCCCAAAGGACCCCAGCAATCTGTGTCAAAGGAAGAAGGGTGTTAGAGCTACACCTGCCAGGGTCAACTAGGGTCAGCAAGTTGGCTCCGCCTCCATGAAGGGGCCTCCTCCTGCCTCACCTGAGGAGAGGAGAGACCTCATCCCCTCACCCACACTGCACTCACCAACCAACCCTTTCCGCTGGAAAGTCTTTCTGTAATGTGACATCTCTCTCACTTGCTATGGCCATCATAACTTTGTGGAAACACAGTAGGTCTTTACCTTTTTTTCAGACAAGATGCCTTCACTTTTTCCCTACTTCTTACTCCCCAAGACTGCTTTCCTGGTGTTTTGTGTTTTCCATTTTCTGGGGCAACATCAGGAGTCACCCCTGCTTTCCTCCTCTGTCCTCAGTTTTAGGGTCTCAGCCTTTTCTTCCCAAGATGAGAGTACAAGCTTGGAGATCCCCAAGGAACGTGTTGTGGAATGAGCCAAGGAGACAGCCCCTCCCCCTTCGAGATATGGCCCAGGCCTGGTGGCTGATAGCAGCCCTGCCCTGTCCTATCCTGGCCCTGGCCTCCCCTGCCTAGGCCAGATAAGAGGTCTATCAGCTGTAAGCGGCAGAGGCAGAGAAGGAACGGGCTCTGGAGACTGAACCTCTGCCCCGTGTACTCAAAGGGTCATTCTGGTCATCGCCAACCCACACAACCAGAGGTCTGTGCTCTTCTGAGGTAACACAACAACCCTAGCAGAGACTTATTAAGCATTTGTCAGGATCTGCTCTGGTGTTTTTTGTTTTTATTTTTGTTTTTAAGAAAGCAGGATTCATTGAAAGGACAGAAAAGCTTCCACAGTGGGAGGGAATCCAAGGGGGTTGCCCTGCACTGGTGTTTTAAAGCATTAGTTTATAAGATTGATTTTCACAAAGGTGCTGTCAGGTACATAGAAAAACTAGACCCATGCTGATCTGATGAATGGCAGACTGAAGTCTGACCTGACTCTACTTGTCTATAAGGTCTTCCAGGTCCCATCCCATTCCTGTGTCTCCATACTCCAAGTCTCAGCCATCAGTCTACGCCACCCAATTCTTTCCACACAATGAATGTTAGTCTCTTTTCTTCTGGGCAATATCTCTTCAGAGCCTTGAATACACACTCCCCTCCAGTCCCTTTTCTTTTGATCTGGGCTCTGGCTGCAATCTGCCATTTAGAAGCAGTATGACCTTGAGCAAGCCACCTCACTTCTCTGGGCTTCTGTTTCCTCATTTGTAAAACCAGAGAGTTGAACAAGCTGAACTCAGAGGTCCCTTTCTGCGTGGACAGCTTAGTGTTATCGGCAAACCCTCACCCCTGCCCTTCTCTTCTGCTCTCTGTCAGTCCCTCTCCTCACTCCCTACCTATTCCTTGACACCCATCTCTCCTTGCATCCGGTTTCTCTGCCTTCAGCAAGAAATTCCAAGTAAGATTTGGTAGGGGCCTCGTGCGTGTACACACACACACACACACACACACACAGCCATGTATGTAAAGGAAAACAGGTTTGGAGTGAAGAAAACTCATAGAAGGACAACAGAGAGGACTGGAGGACCTCAAATTGCATGATCTTAGACCACTCACCACAAGGATGGCCCATCACAGCCATTTAATACGAACTCGCTCTTTGACCAAAAACTAGTGGAAACTACAAATTATCCTTTTGAAAAAGGATTTCCCCTAGCCCCCGCCTCCATCTCCTTATTACAGTGCCATCCCAGAGCTGGGAGTTGGTGTAGATTCAGGCCCTTGGCCAGTGGGCAGAATGGGTGGGGTGTTTATGTCTGCCCAGGATGCCATTTCAACACCGGAACCCCACCTCCCCCACCCAGGTTCTGGCGGAAATTGCCCAAAAGCAAAGTGAATGGAGAAGGGGCTGGGGGGGGCAGGGGCAGTGACTCTTGCCTCATAGCTCTTCCCTCACTCCACCCCCCATTTGTGTCTCTTTTTGTCTTCCTGGGTCTGACATTAAGGTGCAGTACAAAGGTCCTGCCCTAGGAGGCAGGAGACCCAGGTTCTCTAGCCTTTAAGACACATGACCTTGGGCACATCCAGTCTCTCTTCCGCTAAATGAAGACAGGACTAGACAACCTCACTGGTGTGAGAGGCAGGAGAATGCATCTAGCTCAGGGAGGCCCCAACTTCATCCGGTGCTATATGTCAAAACACATCCCTGAAAGCCATTCCAGACCTACTGAGTTGCATTGATAGGTGCAGAGACCCAGGCATCAGCATTTCAACAAGTGCCTCTGTGATTCTGATGCCACAGGCTAATTTCACCGTGAGAAACACTGAGCTGGTCCAACTACAGATTTGCAGGAAAGAACACAACGCCAGAAAGACAAGCAAGTGATCTCTAGGCTTCTGCTAAATTCAAACCCCGGACCCAGGCGGCCCCTGTCTCTGAGCCTGGATATCAGCCCCTTCTCATGAAGATGAGAAGCACTTCTTCCCTTCTTCCTGGGACAGGAAAATGAGAACGTAGAAGAGAAGCAGGGGGGTGGCAGAAGGCTGTGGGAAGGAAGTGGAGGACAGTCTCAGATCAGCTTCAACAAGCTCTCTTGTGCAGATGCAAGTTTGTACCAGGCTTTAGAGGGAGCAGGATGTTTTTCCCTAGACATTCAAGGATGAGTAGTGGTCTATACCCACAGACTCTCGGATCTTAGGAGCTGACCTTTCAGAGGACAGGGGAGTTGGCAGACCATGGGGTAGATCAGGGAGGAGTGAACAGAACACCACAGAGGGTACAGAAATCGGGAGACACTGAGAAAGTGGAGTGGGCTTCCCTGTGTCCCCTTCTATTACAAGCAGCAGCCCCCAACCACCTTTGACAGTTTTGCTTGCATTCTGAGGCCACACAACTGTCTTACCCCCACTGGGTTGTCTGTTTCTTCTCTCATCCCCCAGCATTATGGACCAGGTATGACCAGAGCCATCTCCAGGGACTAAAGCCCACCCTCCTTACTCTCATCTGATGGTCCTAACCAGAAAGGTTTTTATCATACTCTCGAAGGACTCAGAGAGCAACACAGAGCTCCACACTCAGGGATGCAGGCTGAGGACCCTTCAGAGAGAGATGCTGGAGAAAGGAAGCCACTGCCCCAGGCTCCGAACTCCAACCAGAGCGGGGAGGATGGGAGGAAGCCAGCCTCAGGGTCCCTGTTCGGAGGCACACTTGAGATCCCAGCTCTCCAGGTGTCCAGACAGGCAGTGAAAGAATGGGGAGGGGTCAGCAGAACTTGGGGTGTGAGTTGGCAGGTGAGGAACCTGTTTCGAAAGATTAGAGAGGACCCTGTAGAGGGAGAGGCACACAGACGTGAGAGGAACAAAGAGAAAGAAGGGAAAGGGAAGAGAGATGTGATTAGGGTGAATTCCATGTCCTGAGGGCACCCATGATTCAAATGTGTGGGGGAACAAGGGAGAGTGGGGCAATTTTCTGCTGTTCCATCACTTCATCCCTGGATACTAAAATCCAGAGAATCTCTGCCTCAGCAGATGGGAGTCCCCCTCCCTTCTCTTCCCCTGCCTCCCCCCACCTCTCCTTCCCAAAAAGCCAAGAGCTCCAGTCAGAGGGACTCTGCTGGGGTTGGGGTGCTACTCTCTCCCTCCCAGTTCCAGCTGATCTCTACTATTCTTGGGCCCAGAGATGAGAAGGGCAACAGGAGGCAAGAACCCAACACCCTTTCAGCCACCCCTTCTCACTGCAGTGATACTTCTTAGAGGCCCAGATATCCAGTATCCCCAACTTTCCCCCTAGACCTTTCCAGCTGGCTGGACAGGGCAGCGGAATGAAGTGGGGTGGAGGAAAGGGTGATACTATCTACCTGGGTGTCTACTGGCCTCTGCCAGGGCAGCCCACCAGTCAGAGGGTTCCTCTCAGCCTCTTCCCAGACCCTCAACCGTGCCTCCAGACCACCCTTGGGTTCTCATCCATGCCCTCCCCCTAGCCCCATAAGAATCCCAGAGCACTCAGAAAGCCACCCAGTTTCTCTCCTAGAGGAATTCCCATAGATGTCAAGTTCCTCAGTCAGGGGCAGCCTGGGAAGGTCTGAGGTCTCCTAGGAACACGCTGAAAGGGGATTCTCTCCCCCTCTGCCTCCTGCACCCTCCTGGAGTCCCCCACCCAGCCCGCCTTTCAAGCACCTGTGGCAGAGTCCCAGCAGGGAGAGGAGAGAGATGAAGCTCCGGGTGTCGTCTCTGGGGAGGCTGGGCCTCAGCTGACACCTCCAGGACAGGATCTCTGCTACCTCTGAGGACCCGTGCGGGCGGCGCCCCGCCCCCGGGCCATTGCCGAGCGCTGAGTGTGAGGTGCGGACTGGGCTGGCGCTGGGAGCCTGAACCAGGCGCACCGCCTCCCTCTGAGCCCTCGGCCCGAGTTCTCAGTCCTTCCTCCAACCCTCCCCTTTCCCCGTGGCTCTCGTCTCCTCCTGCCCCTTTCGGCCAAGAGAGGAAACTTGAGCCCGATGTGGTTTCTGCCCACACCCCGCCCCCAACTTGCTCCCGGCCGGCCAGCGGCCAGCGGGGGCACCAGGGCTCCCAGCAGGTCCCGGCCCTCTTTTCCAGCCCAGGAGGCCAGGCAGGTCTGCGTGTGTCCCTTGCACTCAATGAATTCCAACCCCAGGGGCCACTCAAACGTGACCTCTAAACTTCACACAGGTGATAGCCTCTTCTTCTTCCCTATGGCTCTCTTAGGGGCAGGGAAACCAAGTCACAGCAGGGTGGAGGACAGCTGAAGAGGAGGACCAGGTGTCTGGCTTCCCAGCTGTTCAGGCAGGTGGGCGTTCCTTCGAGGTCCAGGCTCCCAGCAAGGCAAGCCTGGGCTCTGGGAACAGGGCAGGGGAGCTATTTTGAGGAGGAGGGGCTGCTGGCTGCTTTGATGTGTCCTTTCACCTGTCGCCTTCTCCCCTCCCCCCTCAGCCTCAGATGTCCTAGGACAAAGGCCTCTTTCTTGGCCAGGTTTTTGTCAGTGTGTGAGGGGAGTCAGGTGGGGGGCCGCTGGCAGGGAGATTATTCACCTCCCTTGAAGGGGACCCCAGGTGCCCTCTGTCCTCCTTTCTTCCAGGCAAGGCCCCCCAGGCACACGGCAGCCACATACCCTGGACAGGCCAGGACATGTGTGTAGGGTGTCAGGTCCCTCCCCAAGCACCCGCACCAGCTCCGCGTCTAGCCAGTCCCTGCCCCCCAGAAGTCACTCATTCATCCTTTTGCTTCTAAGCCATACAACCCAAGCCCCAGGTCAAATAGATCTCTCTCCAGAGACTGAGAAAAGAGGCTTTCTTTCTCCTGACTTTTAGTGCCTTTCAGCTCTAAGGAAAGTCCTTCAAATGTCTAGCTTCAATCCTTACAGCTGCAACATGCATTTTTTTCTCTTCTTTTTCTTCTTAGGGTATTCAAGGGAAATGAGAAGCATTTGAAGACAGGTGCCACCTCAAGGCAGGGCTTGCATCCAGCCAGTATGCTCTGATAAAATTGTGTTCCTTGTTAAAATAAAAAAAATGTTCTGCCGTGAACCCTCCAAGCGTCCCCTGCCACTACACCAGTTCGCCCGTTCTCCCCCGACATTGTTCCCCACAACCCAGCAACACAGCCAAGCAAGCAAAGAGGCAATGCTGACGCCATGAGGAGCCTCCTGTGTCACCTGCTTGTGCTGGAATTGGCCGATGCCCATGGCCAAATGCTTTGGATTGCACCCCGTCCCAGTAGATCATGACTGTACACACAGTCCACTGACTCCACTGCATGGGTTCAGAGTCTCTTGATGCCCTGAACATGAATCTGGGTAGCATTCATGGGCTTCCAGGTAGATCCTATCCCTCTCGTTTGCATACTTATCTGGGCCCCTCCGAGGGGATGAGAGTGGTGTCAGTCACACTTGTGGCTGATTATATAATGATGGCAAGTTACAAATAGTCAATAGACATTTATTCAGTAAGAATTCAGTTCAGAGCCAGGCACAGCAGCTCACGCCTGAGCCTACGGGCTTGAGACCATCCTTGGTAACTTGGTGAGACCTAGTTTCTATAATAAATCAAAAAATTAGCCTGGTGTGGTAGTGCGTGCCTATAGTTCCAGCTACTTGGAAGGCTGAGGTGGAAGGATCACTTGAGCCCAGCAGGTTGAGGCTGCGTTGGTCACTGCACTCCAGCCTGGGTGACAGTGAGACTCTAATTCAAAAAAAAAAAAAAGAAGAAGAAAATAAAATCAAGTGCGGTGGCTCATGCCTGTAATCCCAGCACTTAGGGAGGCAGAGGTGAGAGGATTGCCTGATCTCAGTGGTTGGAGATCAGCCTGGGCAACTTGATGAAACCTCATCTCTACAATAAATTAAAAAAAAAAATTAGACAGGCGTGGCAGTGCACACCTTTAGTTCCAGCTACTTGGAAGGTTAAGGTGGAAAGATCACGTGAGTCCAGCAGGTTGAGGCTGAAATGGCCGTGAGCATGCCACTGCACTTCAGCCTGGACAACAGAGTGAGACTCCAACTTAAAAAAAAAAAAGCCGGGCTCAGTGGCTCAGCCTGTAATCCCATGCTTTGGGAGGCTGAGGTGAGTGGATTGCCTGAGCCCGTGGGTTCGAGATCCGCCTGGGCAGGCGAGACCTCATCTCTACAATAAATAAAAAAATCAGCCGGGCATGGTAGCGCGCGCCTGTAGTTCCAGCTACTTGGAAGGCTGAGTGGAAGGATCGTCGGAGCCCAGCAGGTCGAGGCTGCGGTGGCCGGGAGTGGCCACTGCACTTCCAGTCTG